GATATAAGGCTCCTGCAGTTGGTGGCTGCTTATTTACACCTTGATTGTTTGGCAGAGTTTTGAAGCTTTTCCATCGTAAAATTGAGGCATTTTAGCAGATACTTTCTTCGTTCAGAGAAAAATATATTTAGGTAACTGTTGTTGTCATTGTTATGAGTGAATTTCCAATTGAATGCTGCATTTCAATAACATAAACTTACAATATTAGTGACAATTTTAGGAAAAAATGGCGGCCATTTTGAAACTACTGGCAACCGCCCTTACGTATGAAAAAAAAAATTTGCACATACCTTTTTGATATATCAATGTCTATTCTACATCATATCCAATTTTTAAAAAATATAGCAAAAAAAAATGCAACCTCTGATATTGCTACATTTCGGACTGGACTAGTAGGACGCCAGGTAGGACGGTCACGCATGAGTGAGTTATTGCGGTCACGCATGAGTGATTCCGTTCTAGCGCATTCTAAATAATCATGTTTAAAGCTTCTTAATAATCGATCCAGTAACCAAAGTGTTTAATAATTCTATTTAGTTTTTCTGTCATTTTCTTTGGTAAGAATCAGTCAATAGCACCCAAAACTGGACAGTCAGAAAAAGACAATTTATTTGTTTGTCAGACTTCAGTTTAAAACTCCTTCTTCTCCCTGCGTTTACTCATTCTTTCAACCTTCCCCGCCTTGATTGTCGCTTCCTTTCTTACCCGCCGGTAGAAATATTTTCAACCCTGTCCTGATGTCACTCAGAGTAGGCCTAGCGTGAGAAAAATGTGCGGGGACAACACAACCAGGAGGCAGACACCACCTGTATTACTGTACATGTTGATCCCGAAAGCATTGTTAATAACCTATGTTCTATGATTTTATAAAAATACTGATCCAGAGATTAAAATTTAGAATTCCCTTAATTACCTTTTAATTCCCCACCAAATGACATCGATGAAATTATATCAAAGGTAACGAATGGACGTTTCAGTGTATACTGTATTTATATTTTTTCTAATTGGGTTACATTTATGAAATTTATTCTACAGCAATTTCTATATGCTGTTGAATGCTGTACTTCTATGGACAAAGAGGAGATTGTAGTATAGGCTTATACAGAAAAAGTTCCTACCAATGGGAGATACCGCTTTCCTCCCAGGGGCGGATCCAGAATTTTTCAAACGTGGGGACACAACAGGCCCGTAGCCAGGTTCTTCCAATGGGGTGGGGGGGGGAGAGAGTTTTCTGGGCGTGAGCTCCACGGTCGAAGCCCCGGTGGGGTCGGCGAAACCCCCAAAGCAAGGGATTTTTGTGCTTTATGGGTCTAAATAAGGCTATAAAAGCAGATACGTTTTAAAAGGTCTTTGTCTGGGTGGGTCTGCAGTGCATTCGTGGGGTTGGAGGACTTATTTGGGAAATTTGAGGAGGGGAGGTTCGCCAGAAAAGAGGGGGGTTTGCTAGAAAAGGGAGGTTCTCCCGAACCATAACCATAACCATAAATTTAGAGTAGCAAAATGGGGGACACGTTCCCCACGATCCGCCCCTGCCTCACAAAGCAAACCCCGCTGGTCCCACCATCCTTTGTGGCACCTCTTTGACACTTTATTGTACCCAGGAGTTCAATGGCGATCCAGCAGTGGAATGAAAGGATAGCTCGATTATTTCCCACTTATTTACACCAACCATGTTGGAGCTAAGGTGGACGTGGCGGCGAGAACCTCATAATTGTGCCCCCGCCACCTGTCAGAAAATCTCTGGATCCGCCCCAGAGGACTTGGACATGGCGCTTAAAGACCTTGTTTATTTGCACCTTATAAATCGACCTATTATTATTATCATCATTATCTCATCATCATCATTATTATTATTATTATTATTATTATTATTATTATTATTATTATTATTATTATTATTATTATCGAGAACGATCGAGAATCATAATACAGTATATATCAGATATTCGCACGATGTGCATTAGAAACCGCTATAGAGTCAATTCCATATGAATCCAACACACTTTTTTGCCCGACCCCCTTCAAATCGCCCAATATTTTGCATGTTGGGGGTTCTACCTGAGATAACCCCACAGTGAAATGTTTGGCTCCGCTCCAGCATTTTCTGATGAGTAGAGCAATTTGAAATTTTCATGAGATTTGGCTAAAAAACTCACCTTCTGATAGACAACTGCTGATATCTCTCTTGAAACTAAACAATTCTGGTACCGTTGGATAGAGGAGAAGATTCTCTTTCCAATGATATGCAACGCGATAATGTCCGGACCAGTGAGAATTATATAGGTCATGTCACTTGAACTTGACCTTTGACCCAAAGTATCACAAATGTATATATCTCGATTTTTGGAAAATTCACACCTCAGTTAGGACACTTGGCCCACATGATGCCCCTAAAGTTTCATTGTGGGCAAATGAAATATGTTAGCTCTAGACTACATTTTGTGCCTAGGTATTGATAGTTTCACTGAGTTTCCAGGAAATCTGCTAATAGATTCTATAAAAATTGGCACCATAGTATAGTGAAATTCAGGGGCCCCGTGACCATTTTTCTGGGACCAAGGTTTCACTGCTGATTTACTCAGCAGAAAATGCTGGCGCGGAGCCAAACATTTCACTGTTGGGTTATCTCAGGTAGAACCCCCAACATGCAAAATATTGGGCGATTTCAAGGGGGTCGGGCAAAAAAGTGTGTTGGATTCATATGGAATGACTCTATATCGAAACCGGTTCCGTGGAGTAGCCTGTACTCTAACAACGGTTTGTTTGTACTGTATTTGTTTTCTCCAGTAAACGTCGCAAATAGGGGCCTAGGTGGTACATGGAGTTAATTATTATCAAAATAATTAACTCCATGGCTGGTATCGATAATACTAACTGGTGTTTATTTCATGATTAGTCACTTCTATATATTGATGTTAGCTTTCGAATAAAGGTATTATTATCTGGAAATCCTGACATACTTAGTTGATGGTCTTAATTTGCGGGGTCTGATATTTCTAGTGAGTCTGATATCTCATGGTCTTAGGTCTTAGCTTTCGTGGTCTGAGCTTTCGGGACACCCGGGGAAAAACACGGCATAAACGTCTCCAAAAGGCGATGCACTACGCTGAAACTAACACTTAGCCCCCCCCCCCCCCCCATCTACAAAACAAGGATAGAAGCGGTGGGAATTAAACCGAGGATCTGAGATCGCCACAGTTCATCCGACTGAGCTAAATTGCACTCTGGTTTAAACTAATAAAATAGGTACTCTACATTAGTTCAAAAACAAATTATGCTGATTTAATACAGAAACGATTACGGAAGTGTACAATCATGACTAATTGGCACATAATAATTGGCAAATGTATGAAACATAATATTAATAATGTTATTAACCAGAAATGCTGATTCCTTAAATCTTTATTTACAGGATTTAGCCTATTTCACATAACATAAGTTTGACTACATTTTTAAGTAATTTAAACTTTATTTACTAGCATTGACGAAGAATTCAATCAGTTCCTACCAAATACACCAGTAACGATATGTTCAGACGGAAGTGCAACATACGCAGCGTATTCTATATTTCGGAGTTCCTGTCACATCAAAATCAAGTTATTTCCATACGACTATCAAACTTGCAAACTGCGATTTTCTTCTTGGGTTCACAATATGTTCGAACTAGACGTTTATCCGAATCTACGATCTCTGGATCAGGAGGAACAGTTTGATGACAACGGAGTGTGGGAGCTAATTAGTGTGGATGTAAGTCGGGAAGTGGAGGAATACAAGTCAGGGTTTAACCCGTTTGTTTACGCCGTCTTTTCCTTTCATCTCATGCGACACCACGAGTTTCAGTTACTGTTTATTTTGATCCCTTACTTCTTCTGTTCCGTTCTCATCTCTTTGATGTTCTTCATTCCTGTCGAGAGTGGTGAGAAGCTATCGTACGGAATCACAGCTGTGCTAGGAATGATCGTTTTCCAAGAAATTATTGCATTTTCCTTGCCGCCTGTTGGAAATGAACCCTCTATTGTCGGTAATTATTTCCTTTTAATATTTATTAATATTTCATTGCTATTTTCTAAAAATTGTAAGATAAAAAAAATATCATTACTATGCTACATGATGATCAATCTACGGAAATGATAGTCTAAAGATAACTTTAATGGCCTTGAAAAGTATGATTACAGCAAGATGATTTAGAGCTTATTTCTTCACGTGTTACATTTCTTATAGCCTAATAAATAATCTCTTTGGAGATATCGTCTTGTTTAAGATGCTTAAGATGGCGTATCGCATTAATCTCTGCATAAATTGTGTGCGTCAAATACCACTGTTGTATTTATGCATGACCGTAGCGCGTAGAGTTCGAGATGAATTGTCTCCAATCGGACCACAAATTCCTACGAAAGCTTCAATCCCAGTTCATTAAGCCATCTGCATAGACATCAGAAAGTTCCGGGATCGAATCCTGGTTGGAACAATTTTTTCGCACTCACAGATTCCTTTTTTTATAATGTGTATAATGTATAAAAAATTGCCTCAAAACGATTTAGAGTTTATCTCTTCACGTATAATATAGGCCTACATATTTTTAAACAGTAATATTATTCACTATTTCAGGAAAGTACTTCACTTCAGTGATCTGTATTGGAATCATATCAGTGTTTGTGGAAATTTTGGTTAACAACATATATATGCAAGGGAATATTTACAAAGCATGCGTATATGTATTCAAGTACCGCAAAGCAAATACGAACGAACCCGGCGGTAAACACGAAGCAGTGGAAAATCTACCAGAACAAGATACCGCAGAAGCAGCCATCAAACACACCACGGCTTTGCAAGATTATTGCGCTGTTTTTGATTTCTATTTTGGGATTGGAGGTCTAATTTTAAATTTCATATTCATGACCTGGTTTATTATAGCAATTTAATAGTAACACACTTAGACAATAATCTTTGTTTTCACTTCTGATAATATATATTGCTGATTGATGACTTGTGACTATCGGTTATTAAACGACCCAAGTCATTTGGGAACAATAGTAAGGATGCAGTTTTTTTTGTGTTATTTTTTTATTTTTACGTTTACGATCCTGATGTAAATCCATGTTAGGATATTATAGTAGTTCCGCGAGATTGAATTCTCATCCAGTTTGTTCTTGGCCTTACTCTCCCTCTCCAACCTGAACGACTCTGCGGGTGTCTATAAAACGAAGACCGAAGACCGAAGACCCAAAAACGAAGACCCCTATTTTTTCTATATTATTTTGATGATTTTGCTGTCACAAAATCAAAATTACGAAATTTGTTGGGCGTCTGTTTGTGAAATATTCAAGGGTCTTCGTTTTATAGACACCCTACATGGGTGTCTATAAAACGAAGACCGAACACCCAAAAACGAAGACCCCTATTTTTTCTCGTTTGTTTTGATGATAATACACCTGGCTGTCACAAAATCACAATTACGAGGTTATTTGAACTTAGTTTGTGAAATTATGAAAGGTCTTCGTTTTATAGACACCCTATATGAGTGTCTACAAAACGAAGACCGAAAAAAGAAGACACATATTTTTTTTTCTCTCAATCGTAATGAAAATAATATTTTTAAAATCATTTTATACTAGATATATAGTATTTATCTTTTTAGCACATTATTGCCTGAATTTGAGTCAATTTAATGAGTTCCAAAGCGGCAGCCAAGTTTGTACGTCCACTGCCGGCCGCAGAGCGCGTCTTGGCGCTGTTGCCCTCAAACAAAAGTAAGGCCTGGCCGAGCGGTACGCGTATTTCGTGGGGGTGTCTATACAAAAGGAAGACCAAAGACCTGAAAACGGAGACCCACATTTTTTTCTTTCAATCTGATGAAAATAATTCTTTTCAAATCACTTTCATGCTATATTCATCTTTCTTTGTGAATGCTTCTGCATATTATAGAGTTAAGGATAAATATAATGAATGAATGAATGAATGCGTTTTTTAGTCATGGTAACATTTTAACTTATTTTAGTACGGTATTACAGTGTACTGTACTTTTTAATGGCAATGCTCTTGGTATTCTAATTTTATTCTGTACTTTTAATTTTATCCATCCTTTTTAAATAATTTTTCGTCTGATTTGCTGGATGTGTATCTCGTACCCTTTTAAATATTGATATTGTAATCTGTGACAAGCAAGGCAAATTTCAAGCAATTTTTGTAAGTTTGGCCAATAAAATTGAATTGAATTTATAATGTATTACTATGTATTCGGCCTTACAGGCATAACCAGTGCAGCTAAGGTACAGATCAAGATAAAAAGTTTGACCAACTTAAGCTGTATGGGCACATTTGTCAGTTTCGCAGCATCGATCGAAGTTTCTTAGCTTTGGAATTTTAATCAATTGAACAAATATTTAGTAGGCCTATTGTATTTGCAGACTGACAGTAGGACTAAGTATCACTTTAATGTATGAAATCATGGAGGAAATATATAAGATCGATCACCTGTTTCATTTTTGCACTGATTCAAATAGGCTTCGAGATTCATAGGCGTACAAAGGCTGAATCCTGAGACCACGTGAATTGTGCGTCGTTCTGTCAAAATCGGACACAATCGCTCACGTTGCACAGAGCCGCTGATTGTTTAAGCTGTCAGACTTGAAAATACTTGAATGCACAAAATAGTTAAGGCTTAGGCCTATTATGAATAATTCATATAATTTTACCAAACTATCCCACGTTAAAGAACATTGAGTACCGCTAGGCCAAGCCTAGTAGCAGCGCCAAGACGCGGTCTGCCGCCAGCCGTGGACGTACAACATTCTGCCGCTTTGGAAATGGAACTGGAATAAAAAGTAAATAATTAAATTCACTATTCAGGCAATTATGTGCTAAAATGACGAATACTATATATACCGTACATAGCATGAAGTAATTTAAAAATATTATTTCCATCACGATTGAGAGAAAAAAAAATATGGGTCTTCGTTTTGTAGACACCCATTTATTATAGGGTGTCTATAAAACTAGGACCCTTAATTATCTCATCCATCCCATGTTGGTTTCACTACCAAATGACCGATGCTGCACATATGCATCACTATGCAACATACCTACTGTTTATTTTAACATGAAACAAGTTTGTGAATGAAATATTCAAGGCCTTTAGTAGGCCCTCAAAATACGCGTACCGCTAGTCCAGCCTTACTTTCGTTGGAGGGCAGCAGCGCCAGACGCGCTCTGCCGCCAGCCATGGAACAACATTATGGCTGCCGCTTTGGAACTGGAATAAAAAGTAAATAATTAAATTGACTCCGATTCAGGAAATAATGTGCTAATAAGACGAATATTATATATACATAGCATGAAGTGATTTAAAAACATTATTTTCATCACGATTGAGAGAAAAAAATTGTGGGCCTTTGTTTTTCGGTCTTCGTTTTGTAGACACCCATATATGGGTGTCTATAAAACGAAGACTTTTGATAATTTCACAAACTAAAGTTCAAATAACCTCGTAATTGCGATTTTGTGACAGCCAAGTGTATGATCATCAAAACAAAAGAGAAAAATATGGGTCTTCGTTTTTGGGTCTTCGCTCTTCGTTTTATAGACACAAATATAGGGTGTCTATAAAACGAAGACCCTTACGTATTTCTTGATATTCCTAATTTTATTCCGATGAAATAATGAAATACGTACTTGGCAACTGTTTTATGATGATTTTGAAATACAATTACCATAAGATAATTGCGAAATAATTGAAGGTCTTCATTTTTCAGGTCTTCGGTCTTCGTTTTGTAGACACCCATATAGGGTGTCTATAAAACGAAGACCCTTGAATATTTCACAAACAGACGCCCAAACAATTTTGTAATTTTGATTTTGTGACAGCCAGGTTCATTATCATCAAAATAAAATAGAAAAAATAAAGGTCTTCGTTTTTGGGTCTTCTGTCTTCGTTTTATAGACACCCCGACTCTGCGACAGGTTTTTTTCTGCTCTGTGGGGTCGTAGTGTAAAGCCAAATAGCGTTAGGCCTATTCTCTCCTCATAGTGTTAAAATACACAATGTTTTTAAGGAGAAGTTGGACAATAAACAAAGGAGGAAAAACACTTTTGAAAAAAGTGTAATTATAAGCTGGACATTTTTTGACATATTTAAAACTATGTAGATCTTGGTGAAACTTAGCCGACCATAAAATAGTGTATTAGCATAATAATTGGTATTGTTTTTAGTGTATTTTGCATATTTTTGGAAAGTTCAAAGTTAGATGGTGTATCTATATTTTTTTTTATCAGTATACATTGGAAGAGAAGTATACAATAAGTAATATAAATATAATATATATAATGAAGTTTGTAGCATGTAGTCTAATATACTATAATAAATAGAAATAGTGGTGGGAGTGAACAATGCATTAATATAGGCTGACTTAGTTACTATCTTTGATTTGTATTCACTGGCAAACCCCATGTTTTTATTCAAACCTTTAGTATGGGTTTTTTAAGGTGGAGAATCCAACGGATTTCCACACAACGTCTTTCTTTGGTAGATATGAAATTATTTTGTAAAATAATAAATCGCATGTCGTTAGCATTATGATAAGGAGACTGAAATGAGCTGCGACTGATTTGCTTGTCACTCTTTACGTCTAATAATGCATTTATGATTATTAAGTCTCGCCCTGATTTTGGTACCTGTTTCACCTACGTAATTACCTTCATTACACTTATACAATAAATGAAATAAATAACATTAGAAGCATGGCAGTCTATAGGTTGGGGGAATGTATGATTTCCGTGGATCCTGGTATGTTGAATCATGCCCTGTAGTAATTATATTACATAATCGGCATCTGCTGTCTTTGCATGGTTTATTTTATTTCCCCTGTCTGTTGAGTGGTTGTCGGTTGGTAGTCTAGATGATGTTATGAGTGATATAAGATTTGGGGGTTGTCTGCGTGCGATTACGTGTGGTGTGTCATAAAGTTGAGCTATGGGTGGGTCTGATTTGAGTGTTTTGTAATCTACTGTATAATGGCGTCTGTAAGAGGTTTGGTAATGGGATTTAGTCTAATATTAATGGTATCCGGTTGCTATTCGGTTTTTCATTGTACGTAAGGAGTTGAGTTCTGTATTTAAGTGAGTAGTTGCATTTAGCAAAATGAGATATGAGTGTGAATAGCTGGTTGTGGTAGTCGGTGGTGTCAGAACAGATTCGTTTAAGACGAAGGTATTGCGGCTGTAAACGATTGATTTTTTCAGGCTTGTGTGATGAAAGCTATTGAAGTGTAGATATTTGTGGTTGTCATTGGTTTTAATACAGATGGATTTTGAGATAGTACCGTTGTTAAGCGTAGATATTATACCTAAAAACGGGAACTGAGAATCCGATGATTCTAGTGTGAAATTGATGCTGGAATGAAACCCGTTGATGTGTGTTAAGGCGCGTAACAGGGGTCTTTGGGTCGGGGGGGGGGGAAAGGTAATAATTTTCCAGGTTAGTAATTTATTATACCCGCCCGACCCCCTCCCAATATAGAAAACAATACGACATAGTGCTTATCTTATTTATAATATAGGCCACACACGTGTGTTTGAAACTATATATAAGCATTTCATCATGGTTTTATTTATTACAAACATATTCTTTCACCATCAATACACATTGAGGCTCTTCTTTTAGGTTAAAACGATCTATCTTAAAATCTAATCTTTCTTGAGTTTGGGACTGGTATGTGTTTAAATAACTTAAAAGTATAACCCTAAAAAACCCTAATAAATGCGCGCGAAAATTGAGGATTTTAGGCACTTTAAGAGGATGAAAAGGACATTTATCAAGGGGTGGGGAAAGATTTTCCAAAGATGGATATTTTCCCTTGTCCCCCAGTGTTTGTAATTCTAATTTCATCGGAATTGATCCCAAATCCCTAAAATGTGCAATTTTTAGAGGAAATTGACCTACTCTGACTAGAAATGCGCGCGAAGCACGCTAAATTTGAGATTTTTAGGCATTTTCAGGGGATGAAAAGGGCATTTATAAAGGGGTGGGAAAGATTTTTCAA